CACACACACACACACACACACACACACACACCAGGGCTAGGAGTCAAACCTGCAACCCAGTGCGTGCCTTAGGCCAGGAATTGAGCCCATGACTCTTTGGTGTGCGGGCCAACACTCGAACCGCTGAACACACTGGCCAAGGCTGTTTTCATTTTCTCAAGTTATTTCTTTTTCTTTTGGTTTCTTCATTGACCAGTAGTTCAGTAGCATGATGTTTAATTTCCATGTATCTGTGAGCTTTCCAGTTTTCTCATCATTGCTGTCTACTTCTTTACCATTGTGGTCAGAAAAGGCGTCGAACACGTTAAGCGCCAGCCTGTTTTGTCTTCCGGGTGGAAAGTGTAGTGTCAGTCACCGGTGACTGACTGGGCGCTTAATGTGTTAATAGGATTTCAGTCTCCTTAAATTTGACTGGTTTTCTGGCCTAACATATGGTAGGTCCTGGAAAAATTTTTATGTGCATTTGAGTTAAGTCTCTCTGATTGAACATGTTGTTTGATATTTTCTTACTGATTTTCTCTGGGTGATTTGGCCATTGATGTATGTGGGGTATCAAAGTCTCCTACTGTTATATTGCTTTCTATTTCTCCCTTTGGATCTGTTAATATTTGCTTATATATTTAGGTGTTTCTATGTTGGGTGCATAAATATTTACAAATATTATAAGTATTTGTTGGGTTGACACCTTTATAATTATGTAATGCCCTTCTTTGTCTCTCATTACAGTCTTCATTTTAAAGTCTATTTTGTCTAACATAGTATAGGTATGTTATATCGAAGGGTCAGGACTCAATCCCTGGCCAAGAGTACACACTGGGTTCAGGTGTGACACACACACACACACACACACACACACACACACACACAGGCGTTTTTGTTTCCCATTTTTCCATCTCTTCACGTTCAGACTGTATTTTAGATCTGAAATTACTCTGTCACCAGCATATTCATGGTTCTTGGTTTTTTATGTATTAAGCTATTCTTTTGAATTTAGTCTGTTTACATTTAAAGTAATGTTGATAGGTGTGTGCTTATTGCCATTTATCAATTGTTTTGAGGCTCTTTGTACTTCCTATGTTCCTTTCTTCTCTTGCTCTCTTAGCTGTGGTTTGATGACTTTCTTTGGTGGCATGTTTGGACCCCTTTCTCATCATTTGTGTATCTACTATAGGTTTTTGCTTTGTGGTTCACATGAGGCTTACATATAATAACATATATATATATATATGTGTGTGTGTGTGTGTGTGTGTGTGTGTCTGTTTTAAATTGATAGCTTAAGTTTACATATATTCTAAAGCTCTACATTTTTACTCTCTCCCCACTTTTGTATCCCTTAATTATTGAAGTGATAGTCATTTTTACTATTTTTGCCTTTTAACCTTCATAGTAGCTCTGTAAGTAATTAGTCCACTAATGCTACTATGTATTTGTTTACTTTTGCCTGTGAGGTTATACTTTCATTAGTGTTCTTCTTACTAATTAGCACCCTTTATTTCAGTTTAAAGAAGTCCCTTTAACTTTTTATAAGGCTGATTTCATCATGATGAACTCCTTTAGCTTTTGCTTGTCTAGAAAAAACTCTCTCCTTCGAGTCTGAATAACTTTACCAGGTGGAATATTCTTAGTGTTAAGTTTTTTTCTTTCTGCACTTTGAGAGACGTGTTTGCTTATTTTTAACAAAGTTCCTTTTTTATTGAATGTGTTACAAAAGAAGTTTAGTTAAAAGACCAGGGCCCATGACATCACCAGACTCTTCCGAGTCTCCTTTCTTTGCTCCCTCTCTCTCCTCCTCAGCGGGGGCAGGTCCACCAGCCCCTCCGTTGCAGGTGAGACTCCCAGTGCTGGCACTGGCCAAGGGCTCAGCGTTTCCTCCAGCTGCTTTGCTGCGGGCACTGGTCTCACCCTCCGTCACTGGCTCCGCATCGGCATGTGAGGGAAGGGCCATTGTGCAGGCAGCGGCTGGGGAGGTGCAGCTCTGAGGTGGAGGCCGGGTGGCTAAGTGCTGAGGGAGGAGAGGTGCTTGTTGCAGTGAAGTGAGGGCCTCCTCAGCTTTCTTGAAAGGACGAGCACCTTACCGGCAGCTGGGGAAAGAGATGTTTGTTATCTTGATTGTAGTGTTAGTTTTTCAGGTATATCTACGTCAAAGTTCATCAAATTGTGTACTTTATGTGCAGTTAATGACAGGTATACCTCAAAGCTGTTTTTAATTTTTTTTAACATATTTTTTAAAATATATTTTTTATTGATTTTTCACAGAGAGGAAGAGAGAGGAATAGAGTCAGAAACATAGATGAGAGAGAATCATCGATCAGCTGCCTCTTGCACAATCCCCTACTGGGGATGTGCCCGCAACCAAGGTACATGCCCTTGACCGGAATCGAACCCGGGACCTTTCAGTCCCCAGGCCGATGCTCTATCCACTGAACCAAACCGGTTTCGGCTGTTTTTAAATTTTTAGTTTAGAGAATAAAAAGTTGTTAGTATGCAAGAACTCAAGAATTACTATTTTCATGAGACCTTCTTGAGGCAACCAATTGATGTGTCTCTGCTAGAAAATAAGCTTCAAACAAAAGTGATTAGAAAGACATTTATCACGTATACCTCGTTTTATTGCACTTCTTTGATGCTGTGCTCTTTACAAATTAAAGGCAAGACTCCGCCAGCCAAAAGATTACACTCACTTTATTTTGATACTTTATAGCAGTGATCTGAACCACATCTACAGTATCTCCAAGGCATGCCTACATAAATACACAGTTTATGGTAAAGAACTAAGACTAAATGAGGGTTAGAAGGCAGAGTATAGGATGTATTGGCCATGTGCTCTGCTAAGGCAGATGGAGTGGCAGCCCGGCCTGTGTGCATCAGTGGTTAGAGTGTGGGTCCACACACGGAAGGACTGCATGTTCAGTTCTCAGCCTCGGATGGGGCGCATGCAGGAGGCAACCAATGTTTCTCTCTCACATCGATGTTTCTCTGTCTCTCTCTCTCTCTCTCTCTCTCTCTCTCTCTCTCTCTCTCTCGTTCTACCCCCGCTCCCTTCCTCCTTCCCTCCCTCCCTTTTACTCTTTCAAATGGAGGAAATATCCTCTAGTTTAACAAAAACAGTGTGGCACAGAGCAGCTGAAGATCCACATATTTTCATGTTGGTACAATTCACAAACAAACACCGCCTCCCGCCCCCGCCCCACAAAAAATAAAAGTGAAAACAGGGAGAGCCCGGCCAGCGTGGCTCAGTGGTTGAACATCAGCCTCTGAACCAGGAGGTGACTGTCAGTCCCAGGCGGGCACAAGCCCGGGTTGAAGGCTTGATTCCCAGTGTGGGCATGCAGGAGGCAGCTGACCAATGACTTTCTCTCGTCGATGTTTCTCTCTCCCTCTCCCTTCCTCTCTGAAATCAATAAGGATATATTTAAAAAAGAACTAGAGGAGAATAGGAAGAATATTACAAACACTTTACTAAAGATTTTAGTAATCATAATGGCAATATTCTAAGGTAATTATGTGCCAGTGAACATCCCTAGCACCAGACTGAGGTCTTGGATACAGCTGCTCACTAAAGGAAACCAGACGCTTGAGAAATGACAATTCCAGGTCTGAAGTAGGAAATGTACAGGATGAGCTTGTACATCTTGTCTTGCCATGTTGAAAAGAAATAAAGTGATATTTGACATAGTAGTACTAGGATTATGTCAAAGGAGCCAACTTTTTGACAGGTTCACAGTGCCAAAGATGGGCAGTATGAGTGTCAAAAATGAGAAGAATTGCAATGAACTGAACTTAACACATATGCTTAAATCCATGAGTTCATACATTTAAGACAGAATCTATCTTTGGAGAAAGTTAAGGAACCAATTCTGAAAGAATCGAGTATATTCTGCCTTTCCTATTGATCTGTATCCCTGCACAACCAAATATTATGAGGGTATTCCTATCTAGGGTATTCCATGTGATAAATGACAAATGAATTACAGGGTCACCATTTTGTAATTATGGAATTTAGAGAGGCATAATTTATTGGCAGGTTCTAACAATAGAGAGACGATCTGATATCATGTGCTGCTGCTGAAAGAATACACCACCACATACATGTTGTCTCGGCAAAGGGGCCAAACCTGAGTCTGGTCCCGTCATGGGTCCAGCTGGCATGTAGGAATTCAGAGGAACATGTTGAACTGAGTGCAACAGCAAAACCCAGCCTGAGAAACTGCAGATCAGATGACACTGATGTCTTCAACAGAAAAATTATAAAGGATAAAGGAATCAGAGGAGGAAGCTATAAATTAGGAGATGTAAAAAAAACAACAAAACTTAGCAAGACAAAACATTAGTGTCTGGATGCACATTTGGTTTACAAACTAAAACAAAAAGATTATAAGTCAGGATAACGGGTACTTGTGGGGTGAGAGGGACTGTGATTCAAGTAGGACATGATGGCAGGACTTTTGAGGTAAATTGCAGTCTTATTTCTTAATTTGGTGATGGTTATAAGAGTGCTTATTTACTATGTATGGTTTTCTGAATCTGCCCTCCCTTCATAAGTTTGGAAAATGTTTGGTTTCTTAAATTCCTGAGAGTCCCTAATTCTCACTTTACATGCATATTGCTGAAAAATATATACCCTGATAGGAGTCCTTCAAGGAGAATTATGAGTGGCTAATATTTAGTTCATCAAAACAGCTGTCCTACATAAGAGGATTGAGGGTAAATGAGCAGCAGCCGCCGAAACCGGTTTGGCTCAGTGGTAGAGCTTCGGTCTGAGGACCGAAAGGTTCCAGTTCAATTCCAGTCAGGGGCATGTACGTTGGTTGCGGGCTGGTCGATGTTTCTCTCTCATCGACGTTTCTAGCTATCTCCCTTCCTCTCTGTAAAAAAAATCAATAAAATATATATATATTTTTTTTAAATAAAAAAAAAAAAATGAGCAGCAGCCTCGGGTCTGCCAAAGCAGTGTTCTGTTGCCAGGCAGAAGGGCAAAGTCACAAGTCCCCTCCTTACAGATTGGCTGCAATGCCGTCAGCTGGGCCCCTGCTGTCGTGCCTGGAAGCCTCATAGACCAGCCATCCGGACAGAAGCCCAACTACATCAAGAAATTTGCCTCAGGCGGCTGTGACAACCTCATCAAGCTGTGGAAGTAAGCGGGTTCATGGGCTTTTCAAGGGGACACTTCTCACCTTCTACTCTACCTCCCATGACAGCCACAGCTCGCAAAAAACAGGATCATCTTTCTTTTTTCCTCTTGTCCACAGAATACTAGTGCTATTTTCAATGTCAGAGAACATCCTTTAAAAAACACACACCTTGCTGTTAGCTGAAGCAGTTTCAACTCTTTCCCTAATTCCTGATTGCTAGAGCTTGGCTATGAAGAGCAGTGCGTTATAGCTGTGAACTGGATAAAACTACAGACTCGAATGAAGTCAGGAAGGTGGAATAGCTTCTCAGCCCCTATGGAGCTTACAGTGGGGAGAAGGAATGTGATCACATGCCCAATACAGGTGTGGGAAAGGCTCCTTGGCTGCTACCTGATTCTCTTCTAATCTCCCTTTTAGGGAGGAAGAGGATGGTCAGTGGAAGGAGGAACAGAAGTTGGAAGCACACAGTGACTGGGTTCGAGACGTGGCCTGGGCCCCTTCCATTGGTCTACCCACCAGCACCATCGCCAGCTGTTCCCAGGTGGGCATCCCGTGTTGTTTAATCTCTGAGTGAGTCCCATCCGCCCTGACAGTCCTCCAGGGGAGAGTCTCTGAAAGGTAAGAGCAGGGCAGCGAGTACCTTTGGGCCCGTGCGGATAGCAGAGGGTGGAGCAGGTCAGACACGTGAGCTCTGAAGTGAAGCCTCCACTGAGCCAAGAGCAGGACCAGCTTCCCCTGCTGCACCGGGTGTGAGCGGAGACGGGAAGTGCTCAGCTCCGATCTGAGAGATTGTCCCAAACCAGGGCCCGGCAGTGGGAGTCTTAAGACCTTGGGCTCATCCACCCGCTCCCCGCAGATCACAGAAGACCGAGGACAAGCCTTTACTTATAGGCTGCCCACACCCCAGGCAAGAATTAAGCCAGGCCTTTTATAAATGTCATTTGTGCCCGTTTTATTTGGTCCTATTTTTGAGAGGGTTTTTGTTGTGTGTTTTTCTCCCTTCTTATTCTCTGAACTTGGTTTTTAGGCAGCCAGACCGCTCAGTTGAGAAAGTACAGACAGAGGGAACTGAAACAAGCAAGGGACTTTGAAGACATGAAAACTGCCCCCATATCCTGACTCTCATGTCTTCCCAGGATGGCCGTGTCTTCGTTTGGACCTGTGACGATGCCTCAAGCAACACGTGGTCTCCCAAACTCCTGCACAAATTCAATGATGTTGTGTGGCACGTGAGCTGGTCCATCACAGCCAACATCCTGGCCGTCTCGGGTGGAGATAATAAGGTACCCAGCATCTCCAGGGCCTGGGGACAGGGCCCCATTTGTCTTTGCCCACTGGAAACTAGTTAATGAGGCCTACATTTTGAGCATGTGTCCTAATTATATCCTTAAATCTACTGCCCTTTAAGAGGTAGTATGAAAAAAAAAGGGGGGTTTAAGATGTTAACTTCTGCATATTTTATTACCGTTTGAGTGTGGCTTAGTGGTTGAGCATGGATTTATGAACCAGGAAGTCACGATTCAGTTGCCAGTCAGGGCCCATGCCCGGGTCGTGGGCTTGATCCCCAGTGTGGAACGTGCAGGAGGCAGCGATAGATGATTCTCTCTTATCACATCTATGTCATTATCATAGTGATTATTGTGATAGCGCAGTGCTTATGTTCAAGGAACCCTTTTTGTACTTAATGGCCCCAAAGCACAAGAGTAGTGATGCTGGCAATTCACAGATGACAAAAAAAAGCCATAACGTGCTTCCATTAAATAAAGGGCGGGTATAGTACAATAAGATTGAGACCATATTACATGACTTTTATTATAGTATATTGTTTACAATTATTCTTTCTCTCTCTCACTGTGCCTCATTTATAAATTAACTTTGTCAGGTATATATATATATATGTGTGTGTGTGTAGGGTTCAGGCATCCACTGGGGGAGTCACAGAACATATCCCTGTGGCTGGGGGGTGGGGGCTATTGTATTGTTTTGTGTGGTAGTGGTTTCCTTAGGTCCCATAATTCCTATGCTCTTCTTGTCCTTCTGACTGGATACTTTCAACTGTCCTCTTTCGGATCATAGTTCTTTCTTGTACAGTGTTGAGGCTGCTTTTGAATTTTTAAGCTTTAGGGTTTGAGTTATTTTTTGATGTTTTCTGTTGCTTTGCCAAAATTCGTGTTATTCATGCATTGTTTTAATTAATCTCATTTAGTTGTATATTCTCTAGTTCACTGAACTTCAAAAGGATTATTCTGGATTCTTTACGATAGTTCAAAGGCCTCCATTTCTTCAGTATCAGGTACTGGCGCTTGATTAGTTTCCTTTGGTGGTGTCCTGAGCGAGTGGGCTCCTCCGGGCTCACTCTGGCGGAGAGTTCCGTTTGGGCTTATGGACGTGGCTGTTGGTAATTTCTTTGGACAGATGGGTTCCTGATAGCAAAGACAGACCCCTGGCTGTTAGGGTGTGTCTTTGGGTGAGGCAGCTGTCTGAGCTCTGGGGTGGGAGGTGCGGGTGTGCCATTGGCCGAGAACAGCTAGGTCAGACTTGCTGCATGGTCAGGGCTGAGTATTCTACTCAATAGCAGCTGCGGCTGTGAATCAGCCTCCCCGCTTTGGTGTGGACAATGGGACAGCACCCAGAGCTCAGCTGGGGACCCCAGTCAGGCAAGAGTGTACTGAACGTCTTGGTCAGGTGAGTCACTTGTTTTGCTCTGGAGACAGAAACAGCCAGTCTGTGCTTTCTGTTCCGGGGCCACTAGCAGCAGGGCTGGGGGAGGGGCACACCGCTTCGCATGTGCTCTGGGAAGGGTCCCTGGTCTGAAGCTGTTTTCAGGAGTAAGTGTAGTTACAAATTAGTTTCTTTCCTGGGCTCAGCAGGAAAGGCAGCTCTAAGGTCACTAATGTTCTTTATGGCTTTGACTCAAGCCAGTCCCTGCCCCAATGGATGCCATGCCCGAACAGGGCCACTGGCTCTGCTCTGGAGGTAATCAGCTCACCTTCCTCCCAGCTATGCAGTTGGTGGAACATGTGGATTCGAGGTGCTCTTCCTGCAGCAGGTAGGGCTGTGACTTAGGCAAAACTCTTGTTTGGGGACCTGAATGAGGCGATCTGCACTCACCAAGTTCCCTGTCAGCCTGGGCCCGGTTGGATTCTGCAGGTAGGAACTAGGTCTGCGAAGATCCGAGTGCTGGTTGCTGGAAGCCCCTTCTCAGTCGGATTCCCAGTGGTTGGCCCACAGGTTCACCTACAGTCTCTTGTGGTTCTGGTGTCACCCCGTGCTCTCCTCCCTCTGGAAGAGCCGTACCTGCTGGGGAGATGGTGCAGTCAGCGTGAGCCGCCATCCCTCTTCCCGGCCTGGTCTCCAGTGTCAGCCTCACTCTCCGCCCTGATCTTGTCCGTGAACAGTTCTTCTTTTAAGGGGGAGTGAAATCATTTGGAACTACTCATGTCATTTCCTCTGTGCACATTTTTAGTTTGCTTCTGTTTTGATGGGATTTCAGTGAGGAAATCAAGATTAGTCCTCCGTCTACCCACCTGGCTGTGCGCCATGGTTCTTTACAGGAATTCTGCCCTCATTCAGGAGTCCGGGGAGATGAGAGCAGCAGGAAGGGTGCTGACCTGTGTGCTGGCTTGCAGGTGACCCTGTGGAAGGAGTCCGTCGACGGGCAGTGGGTGTGCATCAGTGATGTCAACAAGGGCCAAGGCTCCGTGTCTGCTTCGGTCACAGAGGGCCAGCAGAATGAGCAGTGACAAGACTGATGGGGCCAGCTCCCCACCTGCCAATTCCTGGACCAGCTGATTGAACGGCGGAAAGGAGGCGCTCCAACAAGATTATTTTCCCAGGAATAGTTAACACTGCAACAAGATTGATCATCTGCCTTAACATGATTTGATATGGTTTGTAATTTACAAAGCACCCACTATGAGGGGAAACTACAAATGATTTGTAATTTACAAAGCACCCACTATGAGGGGAAACTACAAATGATCTATTATTTAAAAATATTTTTTTGGCCATTTTTATGTACCTTTTGGGTTCAGGCATTATTTGGGAGTTTTTGTTTCCAAAATAATTAAACATGATGCTTATAATTGTCCCTACATTATCCTCCCTAAAGTTCATTTTGACTCTTGTTGGTCAACATGAACCAAGTCCCCGTTGGTCTGTCACAATGTGAGCATCCTGTGACTCGGTGTATACAGAAGGCACATACAAAGGCGTGCTAGACATGGTCTTCAGTTATGGGGTCTGGAACCCTGGCTCTGCATGCACATCCCCTTCTGTAGAATGAGACTAATAAAGTCTGCCCTCCAGGATAGTTGTAAGACTCAAGTGAGCTAATAATATGTGGGTGAAACAAAATGCCATGTAAATGCAGGACAGAACTAACAAAGTATCAATGTAGTTAAGAGACTGGCTGGAAGGGAGGGCACCATTCGTTCAGTTTATTGACCCTATCAGTGATAGGAGACCATGGCTCTGGTCTAAATTGATCCTGAGCCAACTACCACCGCTCAGCAGAGGCCCTGGGACCCTCGCCTGAATCAGCAGTCACAGCAATAGCGACCATTTGCTGAGACCTGTGAGCTGGCAGTACCTTTGGCTCTTTCACCCATTAAACAGCACGACAAACTATAAGTATTTACTGAGGAACTGGCACGGGTTGGTACAGCCAGTCCTCTCAGTGCAGAGTGAGGGGACTCCTGAGCTGTTACCTATGGATGCACTTAGACAAAACTCACCTCAGGAGGCTGTGTGCACAGGTAAGTGTGGGTCCCTATTCTCTCATCATTTGTTTTTCTGCAGCAAAACCCCTGTTTTGAAATAAATGTTAAATTGCAATATATAAAATGAGAAGCGGTGAAGCTGGTTGGTTGAAGCGAGGATAGAGGCGCCATGGCCCAGACTTCAAGCCTTTGAAGAACAGTGCAGGCGATTTTTTGTGTGTGGTTTTTCTTTCCTGTTATTCACATGAGAAAAGAAAGACCCAAGGAGGCACCTTTGCATACTTCTCTCAGTGGACACAGACTACCGTGAATTCTAGTTTGCTCTACATACATGTCTGCCTCCCCTAACTAACTGTGCTCCCCAGGGACAAGTCTAGTCTTCCTGCTGGTGCCAGGGACTAGTTCCATGTCACACTGGATTGGTAATAGGTCAGTGTGTCCTCCTGGCCATGTGCTCTGTATAGTTTACACGAGTGAGGATCCGTTTAGATAATCTGGAGGGACATAAAATTATCACCAACAGTTTATGCTTAGAGTAGTAACAAATTCACCTTTTGGGGGTAAGAAAAACCCCCAAATTTATTACCATAAACTAAGCTAATTAAGTGGAAACACTATGTTAACCTTCCAGGACAGTTGCTACCCAAATGAGATGAATAAAAGGGTGATTGAAAAGGTATACAGGGTACTGGACAAGACAAAAAGGCAGTAGCAGCCATCGGTTTTCAATCCTTTTACAAAAAACAAAAGAGCTAGCGTAGCAAAAGGAACCCCCCCCCCCCCCCCCCCGACAACATTAAGGTAGTCCCTCAAACCATTGAATCTGGAGGCGTAGGGCCACACCATTCATAGCCATATACCTGTGGGATCTACACTGCAGGGGGAGGGGGTTCTTAGGATCCTTTGAGCCAGGAAGCCCAATAATTACCATCAAATAATTATCCATTCTGAATAGAAAACAGCAAGCCAATGAGAACTGTCAAAACTAGAGATTTCACAGGCTTTCGTTATATGAGTTCTACAGGAGAGGTTTCCACTTCTGCACAAGGATTAACGGCTGTGATTTTCATCACACTGTAAACACTAGTATATGTGACAACAGGCAGTACTAGGGAGAACAAAAACAAGTGAGGGGAACACAGTTATCCCAGCCCCCTGCCAGGCCAAAGGACAGGAGATAGAATCCAGTGTTCTCACTGAGTTGAGACAGATCAGAGTTCAGGAAAGCCAAGCCACAGCATATGGGGCAGAGACTGGAGGAGAGAGCAAGCTCCTGAGATTTACAGAAGGGGTTCTTAGAATCTTTGAACGATTATTAACCTGCATGTATCAAGGGTGAAACTCTTCATGACTGGAAAGCAATAGACAGACAATTCCTGAAAACTCACAGCAGTTCATTTTTCCAATAACTAGAGTACAAAAACTTCATAAACATAAGACATTGGGTTCTAAAAAAGATATATACCTTAATAGTAAATCTTAATTAGGTCTAGAGGAAAGATTGCTCTGAATCTTAAAGCAAGCTTTGAAAGGATCAAACTGACCCACAAATAATTTCACTTAGCGCCAGATCAAAGCCCAACACGCTTTAAAGGAAAAACAAAATTTACAGTGTCTAGCAGCCAATCCCAAATTACCAGCATGCAAAGCAGCAGGAAAATATTGTCCATAATCAGAAGGGGGGGAAGCCCCTGACAGTCACAGAAATGAGGCCATGTAATTAGCAGAATAGTACCTTAAAACACTATTATAAATATGTTCAAGAATGTAAAGGAAGAAGAACAAAATGGAAGATAAAAAAATGTTGCCAACAATTTCTGGAAATGAAAAAATCAAAAGTGAAAACAGCCTAAACTGGTTTGGCTCAGTGGATAGAGCGTCGGCCTGTGGACTGAAAGGTCCCAGGTTTGATTCCGGTCAAGGGCATGTACCTTGGTTGCGGGCACATCCCCAGTAGGGGGGTGCAGGAGGCAGCTGATCAATGTTTCTAATTCTATCCCTCTCTTCCTCTCTGTAAAAAGTCAAAATATATTTTAAAAATAAAATGAAAACATACTGATGGGAGTGAGAGCAGATTAAACACCTCAGTGAGAAAGGTAGCACCGAGTCTGAAGAGAGAGCAGCAGAAGCTACAAATCGGTAGAGAAAAAGGAACTCAAAAGATGAACCAAGCAACTGTGGGACAGTATTAAATAACCTAAACTGTAAATTGGAGTCCCAAGAAGGAAACAAGTTTAAGTGTAGTTGAGGGACAAAAATATTTGAAGATCCTGGCCAGCAGGAATCAGTAGTTGAGCATCAACCTATAAACCAGCGGGTCATGGGTCGATTCCCAGTCAGGGCACATGCCCGGAATGCAGGCTCAATCCCTACTGTGGGGTGTGCAGGAGGCAGCCGACCAATAATTCTCATCATTGATGTTTCTCCCTCCCTCCCTGAAATAAAAAACATTTTAAAATATATATATTTGAAGAAAGAAATTTTCAAATTGGAAAGTTATAACCCCACAGATCCAAGAAAATTGGAGACCCAAGTAGAAGAATCACTAAACACACATACATACTCCAAAATAAAATTGCTGAAACTTTAAATTATTTAAGCAGCCAGAGAAAAAGACATATTACATAGAGAGGAACAAGTATAGTTGGCCCTCCATATCTGCAGGTTTTGCATCTGAGGATTTAGCCAACCACAGATCAAAAATGTTCAGGGAAAAAAAAATCAGAAAATTCCAAAAAGCAAAACTTGAATTTGCCATACACCAAATACTATGTTGAATTTACCCACATATCAATGAAAGTGCTACACCACATTAACAAATTGGATAAAAATCACATCTCAAGAGAAAAATATTTGACATGATACAACATCCACTTGTGATTTAAAACCTCTCAAAGGTTATAAATAAACCCACAGCTAGCATGCTCCATGGTGGGAAGCTGAAAGCTTTTCCTCCAAGATCACCAGACAAGGGTGCTCACTCCACTCTTATTCAACATGGTAAGTACCGGAAATCCTAAACAAAGCAATAAGAAAGAGAATAAAAGGCATCCAAGTTGGAAAGGAATAAGTAAAATTGTCACTATCTCTGGAAGATATAACTTTATGTATATTTTTTTTAATCCACCAAAAGAATAGAAATAAATGAATACAGTCAAGTTGCAGGGTATAAAATTAACATATAGAAATCTGTTGTATTTGTATATACTACCAAAGAACTATCTGGCCTGCAGACTGAAGGGTCCCAGGTTCAGTTCTGGTCAAGGGCACATACCGAGGTTACGTGCTTAATCCCCAGTGGGGGGCATGCAGGAAGCAGCCAACCAATGATTCCCATCATTGATATTTCTCCCTTCAGCTCTGAAATCAATAAACATTTTAAATTTTAAACTACCATATGACTCAGTCATTTCTTTTCTGGGTATTTATACAAAGAGTATGAAAACACATTTAAAAAGCTGCGTGAACCCCTATGTTCATTGCAACTCACAGACAGCTCGAAGCTCAGGTGGCCAGATGCTGAGTGTCGGTCCTAGAGAGCGAGTTTGGTGGTGCCACCTGCTGCTCGGAGTGCATGCTGCCTCCATAGTAGTTTGCTGCAAAATAAACACTGCTATTTGACATTTTCATAAAAATGAAAATCCTTCAAATTTATTTCATTTGGTAAAAACATAATGTAGATCTTTCATAAAAGTAAAGCAGCATAACATGAACTTTCAAAGAGCAGGAGAAATCTATATTAATATAAGATAAAAAGGACTTCAGAATTAAGAAATATTAGGGATAAAGAGAAACAAACAAAAAAAAGGAAAAAGAATTCATCAAGATTACATAACAATTCTAAATGTGTATGCGCCTAAAATAGAGTTTCAAAATATGTGAAACAAAAACTGACAGAACTGAAGAGAAATAACCTACAATTACAGTTAGAGATCTCAGCACTCCTCTTTCAGTAACAGAACAAGTAGACCTCCCAAAATAAGTTTATAAAATACATAAAAATTACAACTAAATTTGATGTA